TTTATTATATGTGTTATATTCATGTTATGTCGTTTTGTTATAACCAGAAAATAAAAAGATGTGACAGTTATATAACTCGGTTATATCGTGCATATAAAACGAGACATACATAACATTAAAAAAACTGAGATATAACCTATGTTATGTCACATGTTACTCTTATATTATATAGCAGTTATATTCTGTATTTGCTGGACAATAATAGAAAAGGAAGAATTCGAGAAAAGAGCAAGAAGCATTTCTCGGAATGGTAATTGTGAGGTAATGTCTCTTCTTCCCTGAAAGCTCGTTTTCGACTTTAACGCTGCGACGTTAAAAAGAAAAAAAATGGTTAAATCCCTCTCTTGGCACACATCGATCAAACAGAACATCCCAAAGAAAATATCGTTATACAGTGGATAGCGCTACGCTGTGTATTCTAGAGACTGTAGCCAAGTAGTATCGTATTGTGCGTATGTTCTCCCAGGGCCATGAGGATGATACGCGTTCGCGCCAACACACACACACACACACACGTGCATGCATGCGCATACACACGCACACACATTTACATAATATACGCATACAAAAATACATACAAGTACATAGTAATCACGGCTCTTTTTGATTACTGGCGCGGGCGCATAGGCATCTTATTATAAGTATTTATAAAAAAAAGGTAAAAAAGAGCGCCAATATATTGTAATCATCAGCAAAATGTAACACTTATTGTATTTGTGTATATATATCATACAATTGCTATTTCACGAATTCCACTGTAAATTTTAAATTGTGTAAAGTCATCTTAAGATCAAACTGATGTACAAAAATTTGACACCCGGGTCATATTAAGATCATTTTAATTATTGGACGATATGGATAGATACATGTAATAAGACATGTAGTTTATTAAATTAAATAAATTGTTGGATACGTTCCAATATTTTTTTCATTCATATTTTTGTAAATCGCACTTTTTTAAATGTATTGTTTATCAAATTTATCTCAAATTAGGTTCAAAATTTGCCCCTAGAAATTTTTGGAAATACTTTAATGTTTATTTTACTGTAAAGTTTATTTTAACATCTAATTATTCACAGTGTTTACTCCTTAGAAATACTTGAAAAACTTGAAATTTTCAAGGAATTTTTTTACTTTTGAAAATCAACGAACATGAAATTTTACTATGACTAAGGAAATTTTTTTAAATTATATTAAATTTCATTTCTACATTTAAATTTTGTTCAGAAATATTTTTTGATAATTTTGCTTTTATAATGCAAGTTAACTAGTAATCTGTCAATTATCTAAGTTAACAATCAGTACGATATACACATCCGTAATTTGTGACTTTTAAAATAAAATTCAATGTTTTTTTAAAGTGATTAAGTTATAATATCCAAATATTAAGTAACTTTTTTTATGATTAAAAAAACATTAAAAGCGCACAACAAAACATTCATTTTATAATTATATTTAAAAATTTTTAATTCACTTGGAATTTTGAATTTACCTAAAGAATCTAGGAATTCTCAAAGAAATTTTTTACAATATTCGAATAAACCATGATTATTATATAAATAAATTGATATAATTTTATAATAACGTATGTATGTGCGTGTCTTGAGATAATCCGAATGCATTAAACTTTTATACATCTATTTGATTTTGAAACCATTTTATACAATTTAGAATCTACGGAATCCAAGGCAGAATAGTGTAATTGTATGATATACACACACATACATACACATATATTTAAGAGTACAATAATAAGTTACATTTTACTGAAAACTGTAAATTGGCGCCAGTTTTTGATATCAAATCTTTTGTACTAAAGATTTTTTTTTTTTATACAACGTGGGGCGCGTACTTGGCACTCTTTTTTACCTTTTTTTTAAAAAGATAAATTTTTATAGATTTCTTTTATAGTAGTAGAAACTTCTCATAGAATGATTGATAATTTATTAATAATAAATATGTACTATTTTGATACATATGTTATTTATGTAATATAATTTAAATCCCAGCTATTATACGCAATTGAGTTTAATTTTTATTGAGAGACAAGTGTTTCGTGCCAAGTGTGCACGTTAACATCTCGTATACCTTCACACAAGTCAGCCAGCCACGAATATCTAAGATTATCGGATCTTAGAAATAACTGAACCGATTATATTCTTAGCATATTTAATCAATAATTTCGGTTCGAACTGCAAAGAAAAATTTCTTTATTTTTTTTTCTATCTCAAAAATTGATGCAAACTTGGAGTGTATAAATTTCTAATTAAAAACCGTCTTAATTTGTTGTCATCGTCATCATCATCATCAACATCATCATCGTCGTCATCATCGTCATCATCATCATTGTCATCGTTATCGTCATCATCATCTTTGTATGGTTGCTTTTGCGCTATTAGGTGGCTTTAATAATGGTACACAATCATCGATTTTTTAATTGATTATAAACGGGACACATACTTTCACACATCCTCATATTCAAAGTTTCACATTTTTATATATTTGCGTAGCTATACACCAATGCAATTTTACATTCACCTTTTTACATCTTTTTACATCCATTCTTTCACATAGTTATGCACTTACACATTTATACTTCTTTACATCCATACATCCGCCATCTACTTTTACAGCTTCCCATATCTCTTATACATCTTCACATATTTTTTCATGCAATTATACACAATCTACACAATCATATTTAAATTGTATTTTGCTTACAAATATATATATTTAAAAAAAAATGATATAACTATTAAAAAATTTCTTTTTAAAGAAAATAAAAAAGGCGCCAAGTATACGCATGGTGTATATAAAAAAATTATTAGAAAAAAATGTCATTTTGTGCGGAAAAAATGTTTTTTTTAAATAATTGTTATTTTAATTGAAAGGATTATAAAAGATGTTAAATTAGAAAAAACTATTGTATAATGTAAATGTTTTAATTTTTAAACTTAAAATTTGTTAAATTTAAAAAATGAGATATAAAAGATTGTGCCACCTTCCAAAACAAATGTATGTATTATATAAACACATAACATTTTAATGAATTTAACTTAAATGCAATTGTAATTATAGTAAGTCTACGTGATTTTCGACAAAAATATGTTATATCTTATCTATCACGAATTGCCCTCAACAATAACGCCAATGTGGGATCAACTGATTCGGCTGATTTAAGTCTTTGTTCCAGATCTTCGAAGTCCGTTCTTTCGAGCCAGGTTGGCGGATCGTTCTCCCTCGGTGGGAGAGGACACAGCAGTCTTTCGACAGCAGCGCACAAACCGCACCACTCTCTAAAACCGAGCGGCTGCGTTATATCTCCTATCAGAGACTTCAGATAAGATCGCTCTTCGTCACTCAATATTCTCCCGACTACTTCCTGAAGAGCCTCCTCAATGTCGCACGATGAAATGCGTCGCGCGCTGTGCAACGCCTCTTCGTTAAATTTATTAAATATTCGACCAAATATTAATTTTCTTCCTGACGTGATGTAAGCATATTTGCTGAGATATTGCAGCGACGTTAGTCCTGTAACGATCACGTTGTGAATTCAAATTCAGATATTAATGAGATAAAATATAAAAAAAAAATGTTATACGAGCATAGATCGTATAACATATCTGATAGTATAAAAGGCATCTTGTTGAAAAGAACTTGATCTTTATGACATTTTTTTACTTATTTTAAGAGTCATCTCTCAAAATATCGAAAGACATTCATAAATCATATATAACATACCGCAAAGACTTTGACTATCGAGCAATTCAAATCGCATCGCTTGACGAGAGAATATTCGGGGAGCATTTTCCACTAACGGGCTGGCACTGGTTTGACGAGATCCACGCAGAGTCGAGTACGCATCACCTTTCACTCGTAACGCTTCTTCTAATGCGATTCGTCTCTAAAACAGCCAAATTACTTGTAGAAAAGGATTTTCACTGGTTGAGCATAGATTTTACCTTGATCGAGAATTCTGCCTCTATTTTGTCGCGGTCTAACTCTCTGCACAAATGCTTCAAAATATCTGGTGCGAGGAAACTCGAAGGCAACATCTGGTTTGTTGGCCGCTGCGCGGACGTTTTCTTGGAATCCGCTGAACTGTCACCCTCGCTAGTATTTACGTGCAGCCTGTTACATTCATTAATTTTTCTTTTAATATTTAATTGTCTTCTCTCATGAGGTATATATATATAAGTAAATAGGACAATCGCGTATTTATTGTGAATTACTGACGACGCTCGCCGTGATCCGTTTCCGATTTGTGAGACCTGCGTAACCGTGGGCTCGAGAGGATCGCGAACTTCCGTTTGTTGGCCATACGTCGAGCCCCTTCTACACTTTCTTTTACGCAATCGCTTTCCCCGTCTTCGTGTAATTGCCGGTTGCTGTTCGCTGCCGCTGTCGGCCTCTTTCTCCGCGTTCCGGGACGAACTCTTTCACCGATAAGCGATGGTAACACAATTTCTTTAAGTGACGAAAGCCTCAAACGAGAGAAAGGCGTGCATGTAGCAATCTCTAAGGAAAGAATAGAGTTACCGTTTCGCATTTTTCAGCGGTAGATGAGGGAGGCGATGGAGAAGGCAGTATAGGAGTTGCTGATGAATGTTGCGCTCGCGAGGTCGGCTTGTAGACAAATATCTCGCTCTTCCGAGGAGTTGGCGGCAGATCGAGTGTAAGAGCGTGCCAGCTAAAAGCCTCATTTTCCTAAAACCCCAACAAATCACCGATAACATATTCGTTAACATGATATCTCGAGTAACAAGAGCCGTTTTTAACTTATTCGCTCTTCCAATATCTTAGAACAGTTAAACATTTCTTCAGGATCTATTTATGGAATATCTATATTGTAAACTACCAATTATCTTCAAAACTAATTTTCATAATGTCTTCAATAAAGTATAAATGCTGTATAAATTTATTCATTAATCTTTAAGTTTCACTTCTGCTTGTATTCACTGTTTTCTTACATTTGTTATACATTTGTTATAGTAATTTTTATGACAACTATTTCTCTTTTATATATAATATATATTCTCTTTTATATATTTTTCACAACGCTCTTGTAATAAAAATCTATTCCATCTATTCTAACTACAATAATGATTTTTTGCAGTTATGATTCTTATATAGTTTTCTCTTTAATTTTGGGAAACTTATCTTGGGGCGCTCAATCTGTCTGTACAAGGGCCGAAAGAAAAGTGCCATCAGCGGCAATAAATCAATCCGAATGAAACTCTATCTGACACCGACCAACTGCTGGTTGCTCTGCGAGCTCGTTCGAAGATCCAGAACTAAAGTGGTGCGCTCACGCGGGTTACAGGTCGCCAGCAAATCCTCCTGGGCCGTGCGACCAGTTAACGCCGTTGGTCCGCTGGCGAGCGTAGGCGCCGGGGTCAAAGGTCGCGAATCAGTTTCCGTATATTTCCGGAAGAGCTCCTCGGGCACCGCCGAAGCGGTCATCTCGGCATTGTAACCATCGCCGTCACCTCCGACATTTCCAGCTGCCTCGCCTCCGCCTCCGCTTGCGCCCACCACTAGCAGACTCGTCCGGATCATCTCCATCTCTTCCGGCAGCAAAAGAGCTTTTCCTTCGGCCGCCTAATATATCATAAAAAATATATGAAAGTCACAGGATGAATAAAAACATTTCGAAATTCATAAAGGAAAGCTGTAATAAAAATTGACCAAATTTTTCGCTATCCTTGAAGAAAGAAGATTGCTTACAATCCTATTAATTATTGTACCGTGGTATGTACAATAGGAAAAAAAAAAAAATAAAAAAACAACATGAAGTTTCGCACAACTAGCTTCACTCACATTGTACGAAAATTATAGATATGTAAAGTTACTCGAATGAAAACGAAATTTGTATGATGAATGGAAATCTATAAATTTTAAGCAGATCGCAGATTTATCGCAAATTTAATTCTTATTCAATAATTCTTATTCAATAATTCTAAATTAAATATACATGGTTTATGACACCACATTTATCTTCTTTCCTACATACGGCGGATGAATTTTTTACCCATGTATCCTTAGCGCGTCGGACGACCTCCTTCGCCTCGCAATCCGCCGGATGGTTGCACAGCACAGAGCAGCCGTAAGGATAGGGATTAAAGAGTCCAGCGAACGGTCGAAGGGCGAACGGTGCCGCTCGGGTACAACCCGATAATTCCACGTTCTGCGTATTACGATCTTTGAATAAATAAAGAACCCGACGTAAAGGGAGCGGCGCACGTGCGGCGTCCGCTCAGTTAATATTAGCTTCTTTTTTTTCTTTTTTTTTTTTATCTTTACCTTGGGTTTTGGTCTGCGAATCGGCCGAATTCGCGCAGATAGCAGACCAGTCGCACTCGCGATTCCAGGCATTTCGATCGCGATCGAACGTTACGACAGATTGCACGATAGACCGTCACGAACGTCGTTGAACGTAAATCTATTTGTGCAAACAGAATCGCGTTCCATCCGTTCATTACTACTACATTGATACTATATTACTACGTTGCTACGTGTAACCGATGGGTCGATCGGGGTAGCTACGGCTCGCATCCGTGGTTACGTGATCTCGCACTTGGCTTCCTTATGCCCGATTCCACCAACGTAGATTAACTTTAATCTCAGTTCAACTTACTCCTCATCTCTTTCTAGTTCTAAGAATTAGAATAAGACTTGAAGAGCAAGACTTTAAACCGAGATTAAAGTAAATCTATATTGATGAAGTCGGGCATTTAGTCTTTCACGCGATATCGATAACGAATTTTATTCCTCATGTTTTATTAAATTAAGAAAAAAGTTCCATCCATCGCAAGCTGCAAAGAACATTGTAGAAATATTTCGTTGCAAACTGCGAAAGACGTTGCAGAAACATTTTATTGTAACATATCACAATGTTAAAACATTAAAGACACCCGTTCTTAAGAAGCTCGCAATGTTTAATTGCTTAACAAATTGCCTTATATTTTATTGCCTTATATTTTCTACGATTCCAGCTTTTACAATCGCAATTGTTTTAATAATTTACAATAATGGTCGCTTAAATCTTCATTTGATCGTCCAACCATGGATCCTCCTGCTTGTGACCAAGATATTTCTTCTTGTACTTGAGACCGGTTACGAGAGTTGAGCTTTTCGGGAATGCCGTTTTACCATTAAACATTGTATCGGTATCTGTTGAAAAAAAATATATCGCAATGTAATACTCGTCATAATAACAGTGCGGCAATTTGGTAAAGACTTCCGTAAGACGTCTTACTTGGGTGAAACCGATGATAATCCTGTTGGATGTGCAAATTCTTGGGCAAATCCATTTTACCCAGCGCTTCGTACGGTGTTGTGCTGTCCACCGGTGTCGAATAAAACTGCTTCAGATCTCCTATGCACGCGAGTTTCATATTTCATCATCATCAATCTCGCACAGAGCGCATTAAATTAATGCAAAAGGTTTGCCGTTTCTATTATCAAGCTTTATATTACAAAAATAATGAAAAAAATCAAAATTTCTCGGAAAAAGAAAAAAAAATTGAAAAATACGTCTCTGAATAAGTCAGATAATTTCGTTTTGATTTCGCTAAAAATTTTTTTACCTAACAAATATTATGCATGACAGACCTTTGACATCAAATAAAAGGAAATTGTTTTTCTCACTAACTAATACTCTCGATGGTGTAAAGCAGCGAATTTGGGATATAATGTTTAAATTTTTCTTCGCAGGCGACGAATAGTTTAAAGCGAAGAATGGGATCTTCTAGTTTTACATCATCGTTCGTAGGGATGTTTTGACTCTCACAAATTTGGTCAATCCTTTCAGCTGTGTCGTCCGGGGGTTCATAAGGTTTTTGTGGCCTCAAAAATCTGAAAGCAGGATATACGCGAACGTGTTTGATCGCGCTTTATGTATATATTGTAGAATTGTTTAATTTAAACGATTCTAATGCAAAATTTCTTGAAAAAGATTGTCAGATATCGACCAATTTTTCAAAGTTGCAAAATAAATCTTTTCGAATCTTTTGGTCTTCACGACGATATAAAAATACTGAAACTTCGAAAAAAGAGGCAAAAAAAGTAGGCAAAAAATATTTATTTTTATTTAAATTATAGATCGAATCATCAAAAATTCAAATTGTATACACGGAAAAGTAAAGATTAAAATCAAATTTATGATCTTGCGAGTACAAGTCAATCATTCCTATATATTATTTCTAAACCTCGAAGATCACTCTTTTATGCAAAATCTGAAATTTGCTGTGACGCGTAAGGACAAAGGATCCTGGGAAGGGTTGCAGAGGAAGAGATCGATGCCCGCTGACTGTACGGTGCTGCCATCGCGCGTTCTCTCTTTGTTGCTGTCATTGGACGGCGCTGAACATCGACACGTCCGAGTGCCCCGCGCCAAAATTTGTCGAAACAATACGCGTCTTTTTTTTTTTTCTCGTAAACAATAATCAATAATCAATCTCCCATATGTCACCGCTCATGGCCATCCTTTTCTCAAACCAATCGAGCAATTCTCAAAGATCGATCTTGTCGAGAACGATTATCTACCTGTCGGAAATGTCAAATCTGTCAATTAATTCATTCATTAATTGCGACAAGAGAAAAAAATAAGAGCTATATTTCGATTGTATCTCACGCCGCGGTTTTTAAATTATCTATGAATTTGATATCGAAAATTCTTCTTTTCTTCTTAAAAGAGGTTTCCTTCTCTTTTCGACGATTTGTGATATTGCGCGTAGAAATAAATATTTAGATGTTTTTCTGTCTGTACATTTCTCCGCTTTTGTTATCATGTAATCCGTATTTCCCGCGCAGTTTTAAAAAATTCGACGATTTGCGAGAATGTCGATTTTCGTAAATCGTGCACAATTCCCAAAAACAAAAAGATTATGCGAAAGACGCAATATGAGAAACATAACTAGCAAACGAGTCGATTTATATTCAGACAATTTTTATTTTTTTGGCCAGCTATGACTGTAAAATCAAAACGTAGATTTTAAAAATGTATTCTTATTTTTATAATTTTTATATTTACTTTAATGAAAAAATTATGAAAAACAAACTTACATATTATTCCAAATCGCAGTTAAAAATAATACAAAAAAAGTTTAATATAAAAAATTATTTAAATAAATAAAAATACTCTCTAATTAAGAAAGAAAGATAACAATAAAGACCTTAATTTGTTTATATGTATTTTAAATATTCAAAATTATTTATGTAAAGTTTCATTCAATGAAGATTAGTTGTTTTGTAAATTAAATTCTTAAAACTTTATATTGAAATAGTTTTTGATCCAGATCCTAAACTGTCACAAAATTTGATAAATATGCAGTATAATATTCTCTCCTCTGATTTTCCTGTCATTTTATAAATTTATATACTTTCATACGCAGAATACATTCTAAGAAGAAAACTTGTCAAATCTTGTTCCTTTCTTTTAGCTCCTAAGTTTTTTGAGATTTGAATTTTAATAAAACTATTTTCTGCTATGATTTAAATACAGTTAAATACATCTTGTGCATTACTTTTAAAAATGCGATCTAGAATAATCTATAACTTTTTCATTACAAATAAAAATGTAAATGTATCTTTAAAATCGAAGCGTCGTATTTGCGGAATGGAAAAGAAGGGTACGGGGAGGTACGATCCTGGGGACCTGTCAGATTCGCCGGGCGATTGGTGGAGGTGCGGAGGAGTGGTGGCAGGAACAGTTAATATGGCCGCGGTGTGGCCGCCGTTGGTCAGGCAGCGCCGCGACGTAACGCGAATTTTACCGCACTGTTACGCGACGCGAGGCGGCACGACGTGTCGGAGGCGAGCGCGCTTACCCGCGGGCGGCGAGCGATTCCGAGGCGGAGTCGATCCGCGCCTTCACCACCGGCTTCTTGGCCTTCTTGCTTTTGTGCCGGACGATATCGCGGCGCACGTTCACCTGGGAAAAATGAGAACCTCATTAGTGACGCGGGTGCCACCGTCGGTGCGCGCCGGCGGCGCCGATTCCGCATCGCCCACAAACGTGTGACTCGCACGCGAGTGCACAACAGGAACGCCCGAATGGATATGCGTACGCGCACGCGCGCACCGCGAACTGTCGGAAGATTTACCGTAATCTACTAACCGTGTTGGCGAGGATAACCGATGTACTCCTAAACGCGTTGGCGAACGAGCCATGCCTGATGAGCGCCGCCATCTTTTCCACGCTCGCTGTCGTCGCCGTCGTCGTCGCCGTCGTGGTGTCAATAGCAATAGCAATAACAGCAGCAGCAGCAACGGTGGTGGAAGAGGAGGAAGTGGTAGTAGTGGTAGTAGTAGCGGTGGTGGTAATAGTGGTGGTGATAGTGGTGGTGGCGGTGGTAATAGTAGTGGTGGTGGTGGTAGCAGCAGCGACAGCGGCAGCAGCAGCGGCGACGGTAGCCGTCGACGGCAACTAGGATTGCGGCAGTGAGCGTTAGGGGGCGCACCTGGCGGCTGCGCTTGTTGTTTCCCATCGCCGCCCGCCGCCATTTTACAGTCGCCATTGAGAAGTGAAAACCCTCCTAAATGTACGGATCGAGTGAATAAAGCGCGGTGTTTGTCCGCCCGTAGCGCGGAATTCTCGTGCGTGCGGGTTATAGGATTGGCGACGTAGCTGCTGCTCGAGTGTTAGACTAATGAGTGTACGGCGTACGATGGAGAAGCCATGACGCATCCGTCGCATCAAACCAACGGCGCCAGCCTGGAGGACTGCCACACGAATTTCTTCGCACTGGTGAGTGATCCGTCCGCGTTCTCGTGCGCGCGCGCGCGCGCACGCGAGCGAGCGAGCGAGCGAGCGATCGCTCGCTCGCCCGTTCGCGTTCGCGCATTCGCGACCGTACAATTTCGACTCCGACCTCTCTTTCGATGTGCCGATCATGCTCTGGAATTGAAGCTTCCGCGCACGGCTCGATTCGGCGAACGCGAGAACGATCGTTGGAGAACGAGAGCGCGAGGGGCCCCCCAAGGTGGCCGCCGTAGCCGTAGCCGTAGCTGCCGCCGGCATCCCGCAACTTCATACGTCACACGTCGCAACGACGCGAATATGAACGAGCGGGTGAGCGAGCGAGCGAATGAGAGAGTGAGAGAATGAAGAAAGAAAGAAAGCGAGAGAGAGAGAGAGAGAGAGAAAGAAAGAAAGAGAGTACGGCGCGTACGGCGACCACTGTCGCGCCCTGAACGTTAACCTATATTCGCGGCGACGTCGCCGCGACCGAGTGTCTCGTACTCCGTTCACCGTTGTCGACATCGACATCGACATCGACATCGACATCAATGTCAACGTCAACGTCAACGTCGTCGTCATTGATGTCCGTTGATGTTGTGTACGTCGGAGTCCTTCCCCCCCCCTTCCCACCCCGTTTCTTCGTCCTCGCGACGGCCCCATGCGTGTGTCCGTACGTTCGTGCGTACGTATGTACATGTGTGAGTACGTTAGTGAGATTTGAAGTTTTGTTGTGTCGAGCCAATGTCATGCCTGATTCACGTCAGACCCCGAGTCTTACGGTACGTCGTACAAGAACGGGGAGAAAGAGCGTCGACGAGCGAGCGTGCGTACGCGCGAGCGAGAAAGATAGAAGGAGAGAGAAAGAGAAAGATCGGGAGAGCAACGAGTGGGAGATGCGAGGAGGAGGGAGTGGGGAAGTGACCGCGAGAGGCGAGCGGAGAGAGGACATGAACACAAGCAAGGCAGGCAGGCAGGCACGCCGTGTCCCGACATATCTCTCTCTCTCTCTCCCTCTTTCTCATTCTCGTACTCGCGCTCATACCTTCGAGTGGACAGCTAGAGGTAGTCGATTCTCGGTATCGGTCGCGAAAATTCACCGAGAAAATTCATGAAATCGCTCCGTGACGTTCCCGCCTCTCGGAATCTTTCGCAAGCGTGAGGGAGAGAAAATGGGAAGGAAGAGGAAAAGAAAGAGCAGGAAACGGCGACGATGGCGCGGGAACGGATAGTGGAGAATTTTCTCTCTCTTTTTCTCTCTCCCTCCTCTCTTCCTCCCTCCCTCTCTTTCTCTCGCGTAACATTCCTTTCGCCTCGACGACTTGTCGCGAGGGAGGTATTCAACGTGCGGCGTCTCGCGTCGCGTCGCGCCGGCCGCGGCGAAACGAAAACTGTGTCAGGCGAGATTTTACAAGTTCGCTCCTCGCGAGGCGAGATCGCGCGCGAAAAACCTCGCCTTGCACCGCTATATGTACAGTCGTATTCGTACTCGCGTAGCCGCGATTATTTCCACGAAAACGGAATCGCGACGAGCGCATGCGAGATCGGTTGTTTCGCGTCCGTCTACCTGCCTGCGCGGGAGCGAGAGAAGATCCTCTCTTCGCACTTCCCCCCCCCCCTTCCCCCGCATTTCGAGCGCTGTAATATCTCTTTCTCCCTCTCGCTTCTCATCTCGCGCTCGCGCTGCGACTCTCGCGTACAACACACGCATATACCGCCGTTCGTTGCATCCCGCGTTCCCACAGAGTACGGCTAAATATTGCGAACGGACAACTCACCTTCGTTCTCGAAGCGCGACGCAACCTCGGTGTATTACGGTTTATTTGTAACTTGGAGAATCCGAAAGCGTCGAGCTCGTAGCTCAAGCGGTAAACAAAAGAGTCACCGGAGGATCGCTCGAAGATCTTACGAATTTCCAAGCCGAGTCACATACACGAATATATATGTCGAAACAAAAAAATAATTTCCAAACAGATGATGAATTAAAAGATACCTTCCAAATAGATATTTTTTTCATCAAGAACATCTTAATCATTTCGTTTTATACGAATTCAAAATTTGTAAATTTAAACAATTGTAGAAAATGTGGATAGATTCAAGGATTCATAAAATCACTAAAATTTTTGGGATGCTATTAGAAAGACAATAATAGTAATAAAAGGGACTAAAATAAAAATTAATGTATTAATATCAGAGAGAATTAAAATATCGATTTTTGAAAAACAAGTTAGGTCATAGGATTAAAAAATAAAAACAAAAAAGGGAATTATGTTTCTAAATAACAATGTATATACGAAAATAATTTTTGTTACAAAATGTGGCAAAATGTTTGCCGAGTAAAACGATGACTTTTTTCTTTTAAATGGCACTTTCTTATCTTCACTTTTCAACTTCAGCGATTTGTTGCGAATACTGAAGCATGTTACATTGTACAATCTGGAAAACGCATTTCTTGTCGCAAGGTTGAAATTTGTGCGCGTCTCTTCGATTTTTTTTCGCATGTGGTACCGTCCGATAAAGTCGTTTATTGCCAGTCAAGGGCTTTTATCAGGCAAGATCAACGCAGATAGAAGAAATCAGCTCGATTTTTTTACGCATCATTGATCCTCCCACGCTGACACGTGTTCTCTCATTTACTTACATTTATTATAATTGATGTCTACAATGCGCTCCGAAATTGACAGCGCCGAACGACGATTTCTCGCTTTTTAGACATTTGCAAATTTTCGAAATGTAAAAAAAAAAAAAGAAGCGCTCGCATATTTAACATTTGCAAAATTCACGCCCATATGATGCATGCACATTTTTACAGTGTATAAAGGACTGTTAGTTTTATACGGAGAGAGTGCCCGCGGAGTTGCGATTCAAACCGGCGCGCGTTTCATTGAGTTCCAACAAAGCGGTGAGCTTTTGGACCTTTATGAAAACCGTGCCGCGAGCTAATTCGACCCCTAGGCGAATCAACGAATGTATTTTATTCGATTAAATGCAATACACACTGATATACACAAGCGCGCGCGCGCGCACGCGCTCACACGCTCGCACGCTTAAATACACATGCAAATATATCGTGAAATCTAGCAAAGCTGTTTGATCGCAATGGTAGCGCAGCGGCTATTGACATCCCAATTATTTTCTTTATACCGCGCGAATATGTGCACGAGAATTAACACGATTTAATTAGATGCCAATCGCAACTAATGACTCGAATAATTTATGGGTAAAGGAAGAGCAGAAGTTTCATTAACGGATAGATTGTGTAAATGTGCTTTTAGTATCATCAGATTTCATTTACAACGCAAACACATGTTTACCGTATATCTTGAGATGGTAATAAATTCACGTCAATAGTTTTCATTTTTTTTTTCCAATTACATATACATATATAGCAAATTAGCTCGTTGCGAATGGATCTTGAAACATGCTATTATGCATATTATACATATGTTTACTCGATTAATATTTACGCACGAGTGTCAGAAATTAATTTCTAAAGCCACGCAACGTTTCTGAGAATTGAACGATTAATCGACTTTTTGAATTTGTTTGTAAAATTTGTTAATATTTAATAAAAGCTAAAAATACAACTCATATGTCATTCTCAACCAACGCGATTTTTTGCACTTTTATTCACACAACATATTTTCGCCTTTGATCGCAAATAAATAGGAAACAGCTGCGGATGCTACGGTATAAATGACGTGAAATGTATGAAAGAACACAATAGAAAATAATATTCTATTAACGCATTTATTACTTCTCAATTATTTAAGAGCCCTGCCAATTCTTTTCTCCATAGAATTCAATTTCGAGAGACTTCCATCCTCTCTGGGATGAGGCTGGCGCGTAAATATCAGAATTGTCTGAGACTGAAGTCGAGTCTGACAATGCGAAAACATATAACGATTAAGCTTAATTAAGACAAGACGTGTAACGCTGCTGCTGATGTCTCACACGACTTACAAGTCTCGCGCGTACCGTTAAACACCACGAAGAAATCGTTTGTAGCAGTTTGTAGCAGTTTTTTTGTGCTTACGTGCATTCGCGGTAAAACTCGAGCTATGGCTATATGTAATAATATTCTCTCGTACAGTGATACTCAATTTTTCGGGACAGCGACACATGGTGACGAGGAACGCGCCGTCGAATTGCGCGCGTTCCTAATCGGATTAATTAAAGCAACAGGGGCGCACAACGGAGATAACAATGCGGTCGATTAGCGGACTTGGAGTATGAAGTTCAATTAAAAAAATAAATCATCGCGGCAACTGTCGCACGCGCGAAGTTGAGGCATCAATGGAACGAAATTTGCTGAAACAACAGGAGACGAAATTGTACATATTTAAATATTTGCAATATTTATAAATAACGGAGGACGATAAAAATAACGTTGGATTTGTTGATTCATGGCGAGGTATCGTCGTAAGTTATGCTAATCGAAAACTAATTTTTGAATTTGTAAAATCAATATATCCGAAAATGAGTCGTCGTAAAAGTAGTCACGTGACGTGGTTATTTAACGAAACATTTCACCGGGCGATTATGGAAATCGGGTTATCTATTTTTTTTTTCTCTCTCAACTTGCAACAGCAAGCTGTGCGTGTTGCGATTACGTTTGATGTTATGGCATGGTGGAAATTACATCGGTGAAATCTATTGGTTACCGTATGGCAGATTGTTAAGATCAAACGACAAAAGTAAAATTTTCGTTCCGAAAATTTCAAACCGCGCGCATAAAGCGTCCATCGGAAGTGATTATTTAAATGCGTTTTACGCTTCTCGTTTGTTAATCGCTTAATATGTTTTACGTTTACAATTATTAAATTAATGACTAAGATATATCGAAATAATTTTCTTTATTATTTCTATAATTGGAATTCTTAATCCTGTGTAATGTTACACGCGAACTTTGTATTAGGTTAGATACTACAAGCACACAATGCATTAATTATTTTCTGGCACTATATATTTTTCAATTAAATACAAAATTCAAATAAATTATATTTATGTCGCAGTGTACATGTCTACTTTAGATTATGAGTAGCTATCGTATGACATGAAGAAAATTAATTCATTTTCACTTAATCGCAAAATATTTTAAAGGAAATACGAAATAAAAATAAATTTTTACAACTTGTGAAAATTTGTTTCTTATCTTCGTCGTGACAGTTACGTATATGATATATATGACAGATATAAAAAAAAATTGTCAAACTGTCAAAATGTGCTGTCTCTCTGATGATAACCGCTTATTAAGTAAGCGTAACAAGAGAACCAATCGGCATAACGGAAAAGAAACAAAAATAAACTTTAATATATTCAGTTTAACAAATTTTTTTTTAAAGTGGATGTCTTTCTCAAAATTGCTACAAATTCTTAATCTATTAGCCAATCAGCATAGCAATAGGATTATTTATAACTAATTCAGATGATTCATTTTCAAAGTTTACATTTCTCATTGTGAATTTATCGATGATGATAGGTCATTTCTTTTTCCTCAATTTTGTGAATGCTTAGATACTGAAGTTCATTAAATGCAAGAACAATTATACATGACAAGATTTAAAATAAAATTTCTTTTTTTTTATTACATTTTAAAAATAATTTCCAATCAAAGATCATTCGTTAAAATAGAATACATTCACTATTTATACATAGCCATAGTTGAAACAAACTCATGGATCTGCACCATTAATGGAAGCTACGCGAGTACTAATTTGGATTCGCAGATCCGATTCATATCCCCATCAGACTATTTTATCCTTCGTCACTTCGTGGCTTGTTCTGCTAGTGGAATCGTTGGTAAATGTGGACCACCCTGTATGTATCTTTATTTCGCGCCGGTTTGGGAACTGCTGAACAACTTCACACAGCCACGTCTTAGCGTTCCAATGACTCCTCACGTTCTCGCAGGCGTAGGTACGTCAGGCACGCGGCAGCTTCTCGCGGCACCAAAGAAGTCACTCGGCTAGATTATGCTGAAACTGGGTGCTCCTCGGTGGGAGAGAGACAGTAGGGGAAGAAGCCATGAACGGGAGTCCCCCGCCTTAGGTGAAAGCCTTGCACCGACTCTTGCGGAGACGCACGGTTACAAGGATGGAAGAAAAGCCTCGGAACACGGAATATCGTGTCGAGCACGCTTTGATTTTACGTTGTTTCCTTTATTTCTCTTCGTTTTTTGCTGCCTAAAAAAATATATATGCTTAGTTGTTGATTAGAAAAATATTTCTTTGGCAAAGAAATCTATAAATTTACGAGGACGTAATACGAGCGATGTGAAAATAACTGTGAATATAATTAATAAGAAGAACTATTGAATAGAATATATTTTTTTTTTATTAGCAGTTTAGGGCGTTTACTTATTATTCGAATATCTTTGTTTTAAAATAAAGTCTCTGAAATTTTAGATATCTCTCGATAAATTTACAAAACGCGATCGATTACACCGGTCGCTCATACCAGGTGTCCGGAGCACGAGTCTTATTCACGACTTGCTACTGACATTACCGTATTTAGAAGTGCTCGATCATCCTCTCGTTCCCGATAAAGATGTTCGGATAAAGATGTGTAGTCTTTTGAGAAGACTCGTGCATCGCGCGCGCTGACTCGCCGGATAGTCAACGTACGGTTCTCGTATTGTGTTTAGTTATTGAAACGCGTCAACGCGATTAATCTCGCTCGGATCCGATCGAATTGGATCTTTATCACGATACACGCGTAAAATTCCACGATACACGTCTTATTTACGTCACGTTTCGCGATATTACTCGGAGTTTTCAACATTTTTAGATCACGCTCGGTATCACAGTCGTTCGTGCGTTCGTCGCGCGCGTGTCGACGGATTCAGGTCAAACCGTTTTCACCGTTGATGATAATTAACCGTCTTAGAGATAATTAGGGAGAAGAGACGGGTGTGTACGAAGCTGACGTACTACTCGGCGTAAAATTACAAACCATTGAGAGACTTTGTTTTCAGTACTTCTATAATTCTTCATCAAGTAAACAAATAGTTCTGCTCATTAAAGCATAAAAACATCTTGGTGCATACTGAAAGGCCAGGTTTACACAGCGGATTATCTTGTCTGGCGCGAGTTCTATTGATATTCATTGACGATTTCAAAAAATTTATGGAGGAACCGCTTTGGAACTTTCAAAAGTCGGCTAACATTTTACATATATTTGTATGAATCTCTTTTTTGGATGATAAAAATTATTTAAAAAGTAAATACGTAATGGTGAATAGAACTCTTAAGAAAACATTTATTAAAATATATTCAGAACGCCATAAGAATGTTTTGCAACTGTCAGAAATGTCAAAAATCATTCAGCATCTCATTTATATATATACTCTTTTTTCGATGATAAAAATTATTTAAAAATTAAAAAATCAATTTTTAAACCATTTTTCGTTAGAACTCCTAAAATTCTTGTAGAACTATAAATCTTTTGAAATTGCAGTGAATACTAGTAAAACTTGCGCCAAAATGAAACACCATATTAACCTGGCGTCGTATAGTTTTATGCTAAAGCACTTAGAAAGGGAGAAAGAGATTTATAATCCGAAGATGATTGAAGACACTTAGCTGGGTTAAAAACCCGGCACTCTCCAATCCGGAGAGACCTAAAAAAAAACCCCCCAAAAAATATTAAAGCGTTTTTGTGCTCTAATGATCAGAATTATTTGTTTATTTGATAAAGAATGATAGAAGTACTGAATGACCGGAACTATTTGTTTTGATAGTGAATTATTAATAATAAAATTTGATCTCTCTTACTCTCTAATACTTAATAATAGTTTTTGCTAAGTGATATGCCAGCTTTTTTACACACACACACACAC